ACGGAAACAACGCAGAGGATTAGGTACGAAGACTAACCTCAATGCGGTAGTAATCAATGCAAATACGAGGAGAAGGAGCAGCTTTGCTTAAAGTGACACAGAGCATCATTTGCACGTCGCCAACCAACTTTATCATAAAACTTGCACCAATCACGTCCTGATCCTTCAACTCATTGACAGTGTCTTCCTCTTCCATGTCAACTAAATCTATGCAATAGTCAAGTCCTGTACAAGCGTTCGTGGCGGCAGGGATGGAAACCACGACATCATAATAATGAAACCTACGAAGCTTCAAGAGGTCCTTAGCCTGGGAAGCAGCCGCCAGTAAATCACCACTCGTCAGTTTCTTTACGTCTTCTTCATTATTATAATTATTATTAAAATTATTATTATTACCAAAACTAAGCGCTAAATCTACTAGGGTCATGCAACGCTGAACTAAGTGTTCTACAGAGCCCCATTGCACGGAGAAATACAAAACGAGCACAATCAAGTAAAATATCGCGTAGAGGTCGGCTGGAGGATCCACTCCCTCCTTCGGAGGAAGTTGAAGGCGACCTAGTGACCTGTCTTTATACTTTGGCAGGTCGCCAAATATAAAGGATCATAACTGCAGTGAGTAGCTGAAACTAACACTGACACAAAATTGCCGGTGAAGAATCGCCTGTAAAATTGAACAGTAGGGAAGTGTTATCACTGACTGTTGTGAGGGATGCCAGTGTCCTCTGCATGATATCCAGTCAACTGATGTCTGCTGGTTCCTCGTATGTCACTCAGCTCTCGTTACCAGGTACTGCCTCGCACCACCACCCTCACTACACTGCCTCGCACCACCACCCTCACTACACTGCCTCGCACCACCACCCTCACTACACTGCCTCGCACCACCACCCTCACTACACTGCCTCGCACCACCACCCTCACTACACTGCCTCGCACCACCACCCTCACTACACTGCCTCGCACCACCGCCCTCACTACACTGCCTCGCACCACCGCCCTCACTACACTGCCTCGCACTACCACCCTCACTACACTGCCTCGCACCACCGCCCTCACTACACTGCCTCGCACCACCGCCCTCACTACACTGCCTTGCACCACCGCCCTCACTACACTGCCTCGCACCATCACCCTCACTACACTTCCTCGCACCACCGCCCTCGCTACACTGCCTCGCACCACCACCCTCGCTACACTGCCTCGCACCACCGCCCTCACTACACTGCCTCGCACCGCCACCCTCACTACACTGCCTCGCACCGCCGCCCTCACTACACTGCCTCGCACCGCCACCCTCACTACACTGCCTCGCACCGCCACCCTCACTACACTGCCTCGCACCGCCACCCTCACTACACTGCCTCGCACCGCCACCCTCACTACACTGCCTCGCACCGCCACCCTCACTACACTGCCTCGCACCGCCACCCTCACTACACTGCCTCGCACCGCCACCCTCACTACACTGCCTCGCACCACCGCCCTCACTACACTGCCTCGCACCACCACCTTCACTACACTGCCTCGCACCACCGCCCTCACTACACTGCCTCGCACCACCGCCCTCACTACACTGCCTCGCACTACTGCCCTCACTACACTGCCTCGCACCACCGCCCTCACTACACTGCCTCGCACCACCGCCCTCACTACACTGCCTCGCACCACCGCCCTCACTACACTGCCTCGCACTACTGCCCTCACTACACTGCCTCGCACCACCGCCTTCACTACACTGCCTCGCACCACCGCCCTCACTACACTGTTTCGCACCACCACCTCACTACTCACTCACTACCTGCCTCGCACCACTGCCCTCACTACACTGCTTCGCACCACCACCCTCACTACACTGCCTCGCACCACCACCCTCACTACAATGCCTCGCACCACCGCCCTCACTACACTGCCTCGCACCACCGCCCTCACTACACTGCCTCGCACTACTGCCCTCACTACACTGCCTCGCACCACCGCCCTCACTACACTGCCTCGCACCACCGCCCTCACTACACTGCCTCGCACCACCACCCTCACTACACTGCCTAGCACCACCATCCTCACTACACTGCCTCGCACCATCGCCCTCAATGCACTGCCTCGCGCCACCGCCCTCACTACACTGCCTCGCACCACCGCCCTCACTACACTGCCTCGCACCACCGCTTTCACTACACTGCCTCGCACCACCACCCTCACTACACTGCCTCGCACCACCGCTTTCACTACACTGCCTCGCACCACCGTCCTCACTACACTGCCTCGCACCACCGCCCTCACTACGCTGCCTCGCACCATCGCCCTCACTGCACTGCCCCGCGCCACCGCCCTCACTACACTGCCTCGCACCACCACCCTCACTACACTCTTTCGCACCACCGCCCTCACTACACTGCCTCGCACCACCACCCTCACTACACTGCCTCACACCATCACCCTCACTACACTGCCTCACTAATCTCATTATCTTTATCTCAAAATGATATAAATATTACAAATGCAAAATGTGTATAGTTACAAGTTTTGTGGTGATTTATTTTGGCAAATATGAAAGATTTTCAAACTGACTCTTGCGGTGCTGTGATTGGTGCATTCACGTGACGTCACTGACCTCCGTTTTCTATAGACTCACAGATCCGTTTTCTTCCCTTCATTACGGCATTTCGCTCTTTGCATAACTTAACTAATTTCTGATCTTCTAACTCATCTAACTTCTATAATTAATACATAACTAATACGTACTACATACCTGTGAGAAATTATATGGGTAAATTTTACAGGCAGTGACCTGAATAAACATTCCAGCCAATAGTTGTGAGGAAACTTTGATACATCAAACTGTTTACTCGTACTTATATTGATGTAGATCAGTCAACTGGGACTTAAAGGACACCAGGTCACAGTAATGTCCCTCATTCGTGTCCACCTTCTCAGTTCATCATGTCACACACGTCTACACCTTAAATTTTTGTTAGAGTATGTAGTGACACTGACATCTTTGCTGATGACACTGTGCTCTTGGGAGATTCTGAAGAGAAGTTGCAGAGATTGGTGGATGAATTTGGTAGGGTGTGCAAAAGAAGAAAATTAAAAGTGAATATAGGAAGGAGTAAGGTTATGAGGATAACAAAAAGATTAGGTGATGAAAGATTGGATATCAGATTGGAAAGAGAGTATGGAGGAGATGAATGTATTCAGATATTTAGGAGTGGACGTGTCAGCGGATGGGTCTATGAAAGATGAGGTGAATCATAGAATTGACGAAACGAAAAACGTGAGTGGTGCACTTAGGAGTGTGTGGAGGCAAAGAACTTTGTCCTTGGAAGCAAAGAGGGGAATGTATGAGAGTATAGTTTTACCAACGCTCTTATATGGGTGTGAAACATGGGTGATGAATGTTGCAGCGAGAAGAAGGCTGGAGGCAGTGTGTGAGAGCAATGTGTGGTGTGAATATAACGCAGAGAATTCGTAGTTTGGAAATTAGGAGGTGCAAGATTACCAAAACTATTATCCAGAGGGCTGAGGAGGGGTTGTTGAGGTGGTTCAGACATGTAGAGAGAATGGAACAAAATAGAATGACTTCGAGTGTGTGTAAATCTGTAGTGGAAGGCGGGGTAGAGGTCTGCCTTTGAAAGGTTGGGGGGAGGGGGTAAAGGAGGTTTTGTGTGTGAGGGGCTTGGACTTCCAGCAAGTGTGCGTGAGCGTCTTAGATAGGAGCGAATGGAGACAAATAGTTTTTAGGACTTGACATGCTGTTGGAGTGTGAGCAGGATAATATTTATGAAGGGGTTCAGGGAAACAGTCAGGCCGAACTTGAGTCCTGGAGATGGGAAGTACAATGCCTGCACTCTGAAGGAGGGGTGTTAATGTTCCAGTTTTATAACTGTAGTGTAAGTGCGTCTCTGGCAAGACAGTAATGGAGTGAATAATGGTGAAAGTTTTTCTTTTTTTTGGGCTACCCTGCCTTGGTGGGAGACGGCCGATATGTTCATAAAATAATAATAATAATGATGATCATCATAATAATAATTTTATTTCATGTACATGGTTACCTGGAGGTTATTCCGGGGATCAACGCCCCCGCGGCCCGGTCCATGACCAGGCCTCCCGGTGGATCAGGGCCTGATCAACCAGGCTGTTACTGCTGGCCGCACGCAGTCGAACGTACGAGCCACAGCCCGGCTGATCCGGCACTGACTTTAGGTATGTGTCCAGCTCTCTCTTGAAGGCAGCCAGGGGTTTATTGGTAATTGCCTTAATGCTTGATGGGAGGCTGTTGAACAGTCTTGGGCCCCGGACACTTATGGTGTTTTCTCTTAGTGTACCAATGGCGCCCCTACTTTTAAATGGGGGTATTTTGCATCGCCTGCCCAGTCTTTTACTTTCGTAGGGAGTGATTTCTGTGTGCAGATTCGGGACCATTCCTTCCAGGATTTTCCAAGTGTAGATTATGATATATCTCTCCCTCCTGCGTTCCAAGGAGTACAAGTCAAGTGCTTCCAAGCGTTCCCAGTAGTTAAGGTGCTTGACAGAACTTATACGTGCAGTAAAGGACCTCTGTACACTCTCTAGATCTACAATTTCACCTGCTTTGAATGGAGATGTTACAGTCCTAGCTGACATCAGTGATATACTACTATATAGAAAGCCCCTTGTTATGCAGAGCATTTCGGGCAAATTAGGTCAGTTTTGTCCCAGGATGCGACCCACACCAATCGACGAATTCCCGGGTTCCCATTTTACTGATGGGGAACATAGACAACCGGTGAAAAGAAACACACCCAATGTTTCTACCCTCGCTGGGAATCGAACCCAGACATTCGCCGTGTGAAGCGAGAGCTTTAGCCACCAGGCTACGTGGACTGTATATTGTAATATCATTTACTTGACCTGAGTAACTTGCTTCGGTAATTTTATATAAATACCAATCAATTACATGATTAGGAAATATATAAAGAATGTAGGCAGTTGATACCGGCCAATATAAATTAACATACCTGTAGTGAGAATAAATACACCGGGAGGTGGACATCACACGTTGTGTTAACTTCATCAGTTTCTGGCTATACTGCTTCTGTTACACCTCAGTAGATTCCATATGATGATTCTCAAGGAAATGGAAATCGGCCGAGAGCTAATACACCGCGGGGTCGCCAACAAGAGACCCGACCCGGCAGTACCGGCGAGCCTACATGAGCTAATACACCACCACACCGGACGTCCACCGGGACGGTACTGCCCGTCATGTACACAACCCCCCCCCTCCCCCCCCCCCCCACCAACCCCCCACACCAACCCCCCCCACACACAATCACTTCAAACTCAAATTCAAATTTTTATTTCTTTGCAAGTTCACAGTGTGATTGACATATTGTAGTTAGGTAGTTTACAGTGTGTAATTACAATAACGAGTTGCAGTGCAGAGAGCCACTGTCATGCCTAGGCATTACGGGCAGACAAAATTTAATGGGTCAAAGCCTACTTAATACTAGACAAATAGATCATTGTTTGTTGAAGTTGTACATCTGTTTTTATATATAGCAAACAGTAAATTGACTCAAATTACAATATGGGGAAAATTACAATGGGACAAGTTGAAAGTAATACAAACATTGTAAATATCACCAGTAAAATGACTTAAATTATACTCGCTTCCTCACAAGTTTCCCACTACCAATGGTACTTCATATTTACATTGCTAATTATTGGAAATTTATAGTAAATTTTCTACAGTATCTGACAAATTATTTATTAAATAATTTTTCACATGAACAGTGACTCGACCCGTGCAACCCTGAACAGGTGAGTACAATGTAGCAACACTGTCACTCAACGTGGCAATACTGCTTTACAACGACGTAACATTACACAACGTGGCAACACTGCTGTACAAAGGGGTAACACAAAACGTGGCAACACTGCTGAAAAATGTGGTAACACTATGCTATGTGGAAACACTGTTGTACAACGTGGTAACACTACACAACGTAGCAACACTGCTGTACAACGTGGCAACACTGCTGAAGACGGTAGTAACACTACACAACTGTTGCATAACTTGGAAACACTGCAGCACACGTGGTAACACTGATACATAATCTGGCAAAACTGTTACACAACACTGATACATAACCTGGCAACACTGCTGCACAACGTACCCAACATCACACAAGGAAGTCACGTCATGACGTCAAGCTACGATGTCACACTACGACGTCACGCCAAACGTCACATTACACGTTACACCACGACGTTATGTTATGACGTCACATTACAACGTCACACCGCAGGTGTTACTCTGTTACATAACGGTCAGCAATTAAAGTGTTTTACAATAATCTCGGGAAATTGAGAGAGAGAAAATGTTGAAAGTGTTCCATCTAGTAACGTACGTCACATGTTATACCATTGTTCCATAACCATGAAGGTTCGTGCAGAAAAACGTCATTTTTATTTTGCGCATTATGTTGTAGCCATGATAGTGCACGTGTAGCTGCAGGTGTGCTAGTCTTTTCTGTGTGTTCTCCAGTGTATGTGCCTAGATCAACGTAACACACATCCCTTAGTGTTACATGTCACACCCTGACGTAACCACTTGCCTCATTGACTCTACAGTCAGTGTTGGCGTCAAATTCATGAGTCAGCCGAGCACTCTGTACAGAAAAAAGCTATGCTGGCAGGTCACACTTGGGTCGTCTCGCCTACGACTCCTACACTCAAAGTCGTTCTCTGGCGACTATCACCTTTACCGGTATCGCTGAAGGCACCTTCACCTGTGTTATCCCTACGGCTCACATACTCATCGCCGTCATCACGACTCTTCACTCGCGGCACTGGTAACTCGTGCCGCCGCTGAGTCACTCCTGCCGACGACTGCCTGCCGCACAGTCCCAGACGACAAGTCTCCTAGACTGTCACAGTGTCTGCAGGCATCTGTTCCAGCATACCGAGTTTCCACAACGCCACGCTCACAGACACCAAGTAGTGCTGTGCTACAGCTGCCCAGTCGTGCTGCCCTGCAACACAGTTCCCATCCGGGAAACCTGTCCGGCTACGCATTTCAGCTTTAGCAGTGTCTCCCGTCGTGTTGCACCGTCTGTGGGTCAATCCCAGGAAGGCGTATTTCCTCCTGCAAGAGTTCTTGCATGCCGTGGCACCGCCCTGTCGTGGCTCCCTGCATAGTTGTAATATTGTAAATTGTGTAAATTGTGATATTTTTGTGCGTTACTACCTCTCTACCATAAATCTTATTAATTATAAAAATTATGGCTACCTCTCTTTTGTAGTGGCATTGTTTTGCTTAACAGTATTTTATAAATAACATATAAATCACACATTACATATTAGGCAGAGAAATAAAAAAAAATAATTTAATTTGAATTAGCACCCCTCTATTTTTTCTTACCCCATCTTAGGATTTTTGTTGTTGTCTGTTATGTGTAATATTTTGTAACTCATGCCAAGCATCTGCATCTACATCAGTGCCCTGGTTTTGTCGGTATTGTATACCATTGAAAATGAATGGTATAAAATACCGACACTATGGAAACAAACACATATGCAGTTTAATGTGATCCTTTATTGACAACGTGTCGCCCACATATTGGGCTTTTTCAAGTCACAAACATATCTACCTGGGGTGGAAGGTACGGGAGTATTTATAGTCAGGTTCAGAATGTTGAGGTCAGGTGGAGAATGCTGCATCTGATGATCCACTGGGTGGGGTTATAGAGTCTTGGGTAGCTTGGCAGGGGTATTGGACAAGTTGTGAGCAGACCTTCTGCAGTGTTCTATGTTCTTATGTGGGATAGCGATGAAGAAGTTTCTTGGCAAGTGGTTCAGCTATGTTATAGAAGCCATTGTTCTGGTTGAAATTGTTGGTTATAGAGATAAGCGATGATTCCAGGATTCTTCGGTATTGAGTGTTGTCTACTGTGGCGATAAGTCTCGAGTTTCTGTAGTTAATTAAATGGTTGTGTGAATTGCGATGTTGTACACAGGCATTCCTTGTATCGTCAGTCCTGCTTGCATATTGGTGTTCTGAAATACGTGTTTGGAGGTCTCTTGATGTTTCGCCCACGTATAATTTGTTGAAGTCATTACAAGGGATTATGTATACCCCTGCAGAGGATGGAAGCTTGTCCTGTCTACTACTGGTGATGTCCTTGATGGTCGTGGTTGTGGAGGTAGATACTTGGAATGATGTATTGGAAAAGATGTTGGAAACATGTTTGGCAATGGAGTTGGTGGGGGAGGACTATGTATCTCTTCTCGGCAGTGTCTTCTCTGGGTGTGTTGAAGATGTTTAATGCCCGCCGTCTGCAGTCTCTGATGAAGTGACGAGGATAGTGGAGTTTAGAAAATACTTGTTCAATTATAGTGCATTCTTCCTCAAGGAACTCATTGCTGCAGATTCTGAGTGTGCGCAGGAAGAAGCCTATAATTACACCACGTTTAGTTTTGGTGTCGTGGTGAGAGTAGAAGTGGAGAGGATCGTTTTGGTTGGTTGGTTTCCGACTTCCAAAAAGGTTTTCTTCAAGGCATCATCTCAGCAGCCATCTCTACACGCTGCTCCCCAGTCATACCTCGATGTTACATCATTGCACTTAAAGGTTTAGCAGAAGACACGACCATCAGGGTCACCACCGCTGATAAAGGGGGTGGTGTTGTTATCATGAACACTGACGACTACAGGAACAAAATGCTCAATCTACTTAATGACCCAGATACCTACAAACTCCTCACAACTAACCAAGTGGACAACCTTACAAAAACTTTTCTTCAAAGGACTCGCCGCATTCTGAGAAACTCAGAACAAGGGAAGAAACTTCTGCACACCATACCCAGCAACCCCAGACCTGCCAGAATGTACGGCCTACCAAAAACTCACAAGCCTGGTATCCCATTGAGGCCCATATCTTCGGGAATAGGCAGTGCTCCCCACCAACTCTAAGGAATTCTCGCAAAACACCTCTCCAAACTCTTGGCCACTATCAGTCCAGCACATCTCAAACACTCGGGTGATCTTCTCAATCGCATTCGCAACATCAACATCAGGAACAAGAAACTTTCCAGCCTTGACGTAACTTCCCTATTCACCAAAGTACCTACTACACAAGCCATCGATCTCCTGCACAGAAAAATTGACGATTCACTTGATCTTCCTATTCCAGCCAGCGATTTCATCGACCTCGTTGAACTATGTGTCGGCTTTACGTGTTTCTCTTTCGAAAATCACCTCTTTCAACAGACTTTTGGTCTACCCATGGGCTCGCCACTCAGTGCCGTCCTGGCGAACTTATACATGGAACATCTGGAAGCCGAGCGTTTCTCCACCATTATTCCTTCGACTGTCACCTGGCTCCGTTATGTTGACGACATTCTCCTCATAACTCCCAGGCGCTTCAACGTTCAAGCTCTCCAAGACAAGTTCAACCAGGTCGAGTCCTCAATCCAGTTCACACTTGAAGAAGTCGACAACACTCTTCCTTTCCTTGATGTTCTTCTCCGCAAAACTGACCATGAACTTCGTTTTAAAGTCTATCGAAAACCAACCAACCAAAACGATCTTCTCCACTTCTACTCTCACCACGACACCAAAATTAAACGTGGTGTAATTATAGGCTTCTTCCTGCGCGCACTCAGAATCTGCAGCAATGAGTTCCTTGAGGAAGAATGCACTATAATTGAACAAGTATTTTCTAAACTCCACTATCCTCGTAACTTCATCAGAGACTGCAGACGGCGGGCATAAACATCTTCAACACACCCAGAAAAGACACTGCCGAGAAGAGATACATAGTCCTCCCCACCAACTCCATTGTCAAACATGTTTCCAACATCTTTTCCAATACATCATTCCAAGTATCTACCTCCACAACCACGACCATCAAGGACATCACCAGTAGTAGACAGGACAAGCTTCCATCCTCTGCAGGGGTATACATAATCCCTTGTAATGACTGCAACAAATTATACGTGGGCGAAACATCAAGAGACCTCCAAACACGTATTTCAGAACACCAATATGCAAGCAGGACTGACGTTACAAGGAATGCCTGTGTACAACATCGCAATTCACACAACCATTTAATTAACTACAGAAACTCAAGACTTATCGCCACAGTAGACAACACTCAATACCGAAGAATCCTGGAATCATCGCTTATCTCTATAACCAACAATTTCAACCAGAACAATGGCTTCTATAACATAGCTGAACCACTTGCCAAG